CAGATGTAGGTGATGGGGAGGAAGGCAGCAAATCACACTGCCACGTGTGTACCTATGCAACAATCTTGCATGTTCTTCACATGTACCCCAAAACCTAAAATGCAATAAAATAAATGGGAAAAAAAAAGAAATGATATGTTTATTTAACTTCAATTTGATAAGTATGTTGTATTTTTTAGAGTTGTCACTAAAAAATAGAAAAAGTTTGTAAATACCATAGTAACAGAGGGGATGAAAGAAGAGACAGGAGAAATCACAAAGAAAGAAAAAAAAAGGAGATAGAAAAAATTTAATATATATATATTAATTAAAAAATTTATATATATGTATAGTGTATAGCTCAATAATTACAATAAGTATAGGTGGATTAAGTGAACTAGCTAAAAGACAAAAGTTGTCAGACTGGATTAAAAATACTTCAGTTAAAGACAGTCTCTGATTTATGTTCAATTTAAGATTTTTCAACTTTACAATGGGTTTTTTAGGACCTATCCCCATCATTAAATTGCGGAGCATTTGTTATGCTGTTTACAAGAAGTAGAGAAAGGTTGAAATTAAAAGATGAGAAAAGATATAGGCAAATTTCAACAACAACAAAGCTGGTGCAGTATTAACATCAGACAAATAGACTCTGCAGGGGTTAGTGTTTAGAACAATGCCAGCATTCTAAAACAGGAACCTAAATACAGGCCTTAGAGATGAAGTTGAAAAGAAGATAATAGTCTATTTCTGAACAACTAATATGTTCAGTGCGTATTACCTGATTTGAAGAATAAAGACAAAACTGAAAGTTTGGGAAAACAAGTACTCATAGATTATATGGAATTTACAGTGTAACCAAGTATTTTCTTTCAGAGAGTCCAAAAATACTGGCTTTTTTTTTGTGTGTGTATACTATCTATAATTGTTGACAACACGTATAAAATTAAATGCATTTGATAACCTCTTGCTCTTTTCAGGAATTCAAAATGTCCTCAGCCTCTTCTGTGCAGTCCTCACAGAAAATAAGGTTCTCTTCCATTCAGCAAGTTTCCAGAGACTTAGCGATGCTTGTAGAGCGCTGGAATCTTTAATGTTTCCTCTTAAATACAGGTAAGGTTTTCATTTGTTAATTTTATATATCCCTAAAGTACATATCATTTATTGTTGATGAACCAAAATGTTATGGTACAATGGTTTTGAACCATGTGGGGATATTTTACAAAGTCATGCTGTTAAATGAGCCATAGTAGCCTAGAATTAGAGACTGTCCAAGTTTTCCATTGCTAAATGTTGATTAGTATAAAAATATTTAATTTGAATAGCATTTTCAGCAACTTTTAATTATCTTTTAATACAATTGGCATAAATGTTTTGTCAATGCTATTTGATATTAAAGGATTGCTAATTTTTTAAAGTTATAATGATAGAAAGTCTATTAATAAAAAGCTCTTATCTTTCTTAAATACCCACTGAAGTATTTATGGGTAAACAATATGACATCTGGGATTTGCTTCAATGTGATACAGTAAAGAAGAGAAAAAAAGTGGGTAGAAATACATATATTAGCTATGCATTGGTAATTGTCAAAGGTGACAATTAGTGGGACTTCATTATTATTTTTCCCTGTGTTTTTTAGGGGATATGTTAAACATTTTTTCCTAATAAAAAATAAAAACAAAACAAATCTAAACAGTGATGCCTAATAGTGCCATAAGTAGAATATTATACCTCTAATATACTGTTTCATCAATTGATAATCCTAACATCTAGTAAATTAGTTCATAAAACTAGATAAAATTTTCGACTCTCTCCAGAATGTCTTTAAAAAATTTTTTTTTAATCTAGGTGCTTTTCTTAACTTTTTAGATAAGATAGAGAATTCTTGCCCCCCCCCCTTTTTTTTTTTTGGCCATTCTTATTGAATGCAAAAAGCAAGTATAGAAAGTGGAATTTGAATGCTTGTTTTATATAGACAAATCACTGCCTCATATTGAGAGAGGAGACCCTATCAGAGAGCCAATGTTGCTGTCTAATGTTGGGTTTCTATGTCAGGAAAAATGCTTTCAAACAGTATTAGAAGACCTAAAGAGACTGCTTGCCTAGAAGAAACAAAGGATAAGGAAGTAACCTTGGATTCCATTTACTTTATATCTTATTATATCTGATCGTATCTTTCACGTCAAGATTTTTAAATCATTTTTTCCAAAATTTTAGTATTAAAAATCATGAAAACATTATTGGCAGTTTATAAACATAGGTAATATAAAACTTATAAAGCATAAAAATGGAAGAAAATATGTTTATGTTAAAGAAAAATATATTTGACACACATTTTTATTATTTCCAGTTATCCTTATATTCCTATTCTCCCGGCTCAGCTACTGGAAGTTCTAAGTTCCCCAACACCTTTCATTATTGGAGTACATTCTATCTTTAAAACTGATATCCATGAACTTGTAAGTATTCCTTTTTAAAGTTTCCAGTTATTGAGTCTAGATGTTTATCATATTTCTTTCGGTCCTATAACATTTCAGTTAATCACTGTTTTCAGATCTGTAGCATTTCCAATAGAAAAGATTGGATAGAAGAAAAATATCATTGAAAAGTCTGTATAATACTTTTGCCATATAGGAAGTATAGGCGGTTTTAAAAAGGAATTCATTAATGTTTTTAAATATCCCTCTTTTGGTGCATTGTTTATCTTTATTATTCATCTTATATATGACAAAAGAAGATAAATTAATCTATTAACATTCTATTTAGACTTTTGATATCACTGCATAATTGATTTATATTTTGAAATGAGACCCCTCTTGATACCAAATTGCTTAAAATTAACAAAGCAGAAAGCATATGAAAAAGAGTGAAGAGTTTTAGTGGAACACAAGTTTGGTGTAACTGTCCACCAAATATTTGTATTCTTAATGCCATGTGAATAGAAATACCAAATAAGGAAAAGTATACTTTACATTCAAGCCAGTTCTGGAATAATTCATTTAGTTCTGTGTATCACACTTTATGAGGGATGTAACAAAATAAAGCACATCAGAAAAGGACATCCAGGATATCAAGAATTTAGAAACTATATTCTGTAAGGGCCTAAGGAAATTTTCTCAGGTAATAATTTAATACTATGTGATGGGTAAAGATAAATATTTAAGTTACTGTCATAGAAGAAGGGTTAAGATTCATTTTTGTAACTCTAAAAGGCTGAAATAGAATCAGTGGATACAGTGGCCATAGTAAAAGATTTCTGCCCAGTAAAAGTGTTTCCAACAATTAGAACTACCCAGTTATAGAATGGATTTCCTTATGTGAGATAAAGAGTGTACCCTCAAGCACTGTAAGTAGAGTGTAAGGAACAGCTAGAGTGACACTTTTCAGGTAGTATGAGAAAAATTCTTTACTGTAAAGTTAGGCTACAGAACATCTATGATCCACAGATCCCCAAGGTTGTAATTCTACTTCTGTTTTAGTTTTAAATGCCAGCAAAGAAGAATTACAGTTGTAACCAAATCAGAGGTATCATTTAAACTAACAAAATATTATTCAACATTATAATTATAAGCAGGACTTTTATTCAGATAGTCATCATTTTTTCTAATTTTATATACTGATACTTAGCTCCTATTTAATTTCGGTATCACCATATAAAACTATGTGTAAATTAATAAACATGCAGTAAAACCTAATTAGTACTTATTAGAAGCATGCCCATCTGGTATGTAGATAATTTTTTTCTGCTAAATATAAACAGTCACTGGAGGCTGGTCACAGTGGTGTGGCTCAGACCTGTTATCCCAGCACTTTGGGAGGCCAAGGCAAGCAGATTACCTGAGGTCAGGAGTTTGAGACCATCCTGGCCAACATGGAGAAGCCCCATCTCTACTAAAAATACAAAAAATTAGCTGGGTATGGTGGTGCCTGTTATCCCAGTTACTCGGGAGGCTGAAGCAGGAGAATCGCTTGAACCTGGGAGGTGGAGGTTGCAGTGAGCCAAGACTGCACCACTACACTCCAGCCTGAGCAAGAATGAGACTCCCTCTCAAAAATAAATAAATAAATAAAAATAAACAGTCACTAGAGTTAGGACAAACCAAGTGTTACCAAATGTAAATTTCTTAAAATTGTAATGAATAAATTAGAATGAATTATGAAATTGTCAATATAACAACTTCACTCATCTTGGCTGTTTTCTCTTATATTTTTATGTGAGTTATTTTTAAATAGACTTTTGTAAAATGCTAAAGATCAGATTTTTCTAAGCCGCTAAAAAAACACCCTTTTCATGTATACTAACTGTTTTGTTTGTTAATTCTTGTAATAAATATTAATTCAGGGTACTACTAAACTACTTGAATAAAGTGTCAAAAATGCAGCGACTGTGCTTGCTGCAGCAGCACGTATAGTAAAATTCAGAACAAAATGCAGTGACTCAAACAAAATAAAGTGTTACTGAACACTCATGCAGCAGTCCAGAGAGATGTTCCATTATGCCAGAACAGTTTGCTCCATGAAGTCATTCAACACCCAAGCTTCCATCCTTCTTGTTTCTCCAACAGAATCCTCCCAGGCATTGTCATCATGTGTATGCTGAAGGCTGGTTTGATGCCAGTTTATAATTTCAGTCTAAGGGAAAAGAAAAGACTGCATAGGAGAGCTTTACATATCCCCTATCTTGAAGGACAGAAAGACACGTCACTTCTCATGTTTTATTGGCAGAATCTTAGCCACGTGCCACACATAATTTTAAAGGAAGCTGGGAAATATGGGCAGCTGGGAATTTGTTAGCCCAGAATTCTGATACTGTGGACAACCAAGAGTCTCTTCCACACCTGATTCTTCTCATTTTGAATTAGTCAAGGGAAAAATAATTTGCTTAACCACAAATGTATTTTGGTAATTATAGGTTAATTTTTTATATCTCTTTCAGTTAGATGTAATCATAGCAGATTTGGATGGAGGCACTATTAAAATTCCTGAATGTATTCACCTCTCTTCCCTCCCAGAACCGCTTCTACATCAGACTCAATCAGCTCTTTCTTTGGTATGACATGTTTTTGTAATAGTAACTTTCTCATGATTTAAATCTGAAGCTAAGGTAGCTGAAATTTAAAATCTTTGTCAGTGCAGTTTGTTACTTTAATTTAAAAAGAGCTATATGTTTAAAACATTAACATATTCTCACATAGTATTTAGAATAGAATTCTTCATTTACTGTTTAGGCATCTAAAGAATATATTTTGGATCCTAACTGAATATTTGTTCCACATTTATTTCTTCATTCAGCTTATTTATTTAGTACTGTCCTAGGTATGGGAAATTCACCTTTGAAAACAAGACTCTGCCTTGAAACCCCTGATTCCTCTAAGATCCCCTATTAGATGTTGGCTTCTTTCTCTAATCTCCCTATTGGCGTCTCATTACTCTTTAGTACCTACAAAACACTATTATATTGTCTTGCCGATACTTTCAGGTTATTACAGAAAGATGTGTCTTATTGATGCATTAAATGTCCAACATTCCATTCTTAATGCTATATGAATAGAAATAACGAAGAAGGAAAAGTATACTCTACATTCAAGCCAAGTAAAGTTTTTTTTTAAATCTTGTGGCTTGGGTTTTTCTCACTGAAACAAATTTAATTTTTTTGTAGTTATTTTACCTTAGCTGATTTTTGAAAACACAGTATTTTGTTTTACTGAAAGCCAGTTAGGTGCTTATCATCAGAAAGTTGAACTATAGAAATTCTGCATTCCTTTTGAAGACTTTACTAGAACTAAGTCCTTCATATTCTACTTTAAGAATATTCTATTCTGGGCTATTTAAAACATTTTTTGCCTCTTAAATAGAAACTTAGAAGCCTAGGATTACCAGGAGGGATTTTATTCTCAGAAAACTTTCAGATTTCTGTTAGTCCTTTTATTGTCGTAGTGGTATCTATGAAATGGGAACAGTTAGAGAAGACAGACTTTTCCTAATATAATTTGTAATCTGAAATACAAGATGTGATGGAGTGGAAAAGACACTAGTGTAGGATATAGGATACCTGAATTCCAGTCTGTGTTCTGCCACTGGTATTATTGAAAATCACATTTTATCTCTAGGCTGTTTGCTGGTCATTACCTGTAGGATGAATGTTTTTACAGTGATGACTAAGTGATTGTTTGCCAAAGTGAAGCATGATTTGGGATAATATGTGGTGAACCTTTTTTATTTTAATGATTATGTTTTTATATAATGTACTTAAAATGGCATATAGAACCTGTGATTTCTCAGATATCATTTAAGAAAATACTAGGTTTAAGAAGGTGAGTTGATTGGGCCGGGTGCAGTGGCTCACACCTGTAATCCCATTGCTTTGGGAGACCACAGTGGGCAGGTCACAAGGTCAGGAGTTCAAGACTAGCCTGACCAAATGGTGAAACTCCGTCTCTACTAAAAATACAAAAAAAATTAGCTGGGTGTTGTGGTACATGCTTGTAATATCCCAGCTACTCAGGAGGCTGGGGCAGAAGAACCGCTTACACCCAGGAGGTGGAGGTTGCAGTGAGCCGAGATCATGCCACTGCATTCCAGCCTGGGTGGAAAAGCAAGACTCCATCTCAAAAA